AGAGAAATAATAAAGTGTTCTCTCTAATGCAAAAAAATCTGTCTTTGGTCTTTGTTGTTATTACTGAACCTACTTGCTGGGATGCAGCAAATGTATTTTCAAGCCTTAACCCTTCCTTTAAAAGGGCAAATTAATTTTTAAATTAAATCTAGGTACAGAGACTTACACTTCTCTGTAACAGGAGAGTGTTACTGAAGGCAAGCTGTGTAATGCTCCTGTTGGCATCAGAATGCTCCTGCAAATACTTTGTTTTTACTTACAATATCCATTACAGCTTCCTTTGTCCAGTATTGCTGACCTGTCAAAGCACCTGGCAGCCTCTGTCTTCAGCTCACTTTAACTGGACTTTGCCAGTAAACTTCACCATGGGCCGTATCACCACTGGACATCTCAAACACGAAGTGATACTGTCTTTAGGGTTTGGGACGGAAAAGCCCAACAGTATCAGTTCACAGCCCTCTTGGGGGGGTGGTTCATGAGATAGCCTCATGAGTGCTATCATGCAGTCACAGTGTAAATTGCACACAAGCTACACGAAGTGATGAGACTGATGTTTCCTATGTTATTTCAATTCCAGCAGCTGCTTTTCCATTCTTTTGCTTTAATTGCTACTGATTAAAACCTCAGTTTACATTCCTGACTCATACTCTAGACCCAGCCCATCGGGAAGATAACATGACCTTAAGGCATCATCTGATATGAGACAAAGATCTGGAAACAGCCACAGAAATCGGACTGGAGAAAATGCACATTTGATCTCAACATCACAGTGCGTCAAGGACGAGGCTTGAAGAATCAGGTGTTAATATAACCATGTGAGTTTACAGCTGGCATATTGGTTTAGATGCTACATAGCATCTGCCCATTGAAAACCCAGAAGGGAGTTTTGCTCAAATATACCAAAGACAAAAGGGGGTTTATTGCAGATAGTATACATAGATCAGGGTTTTGCCATTCTCTATAGTCATACTTTGGCTATTTTAATAGGTTTGCATATGATCAGGAAATAAACCCATTTTATCTTATTTCACATGTTCAGAGCCAAAAACTTTTTATTATACACGTTAGAGGTATTGTCAGCTCAGGATCAGAAAACAGAGTTTGCTTACATCCTTTCTTCAGCTGTATCTGCCGGTGCTGTGGCCAGTGTGACTGTAAATAATTCAGGTTTAGGACCTTAACATTTGTTACAAATTTTTCCATTATTCAACCTAAGCTCCCATTCCCTTATTTGTATCCTATTATTCTTAGTGATCTCTCAGACCAGCCTAAACATCCACAGATATAAAAAAGAGGAAGCAAGCATTTGTCTTACTTGTCCTTAGCAGCTACAGTTTAAAGCCAATACTGCAAATACCCCCAAGGTATCAGGGCCTTCCGAACATGCCCACGCTTTTGGTCACAGAGCAGGCAGCACCATGACCATGAAAGGGAACAGGAACATCCACTGCAAATACAGTGCTTGTCTTTATGCTCTGTTTTCCATGCTGAGCACATACTCCGTCCAAAATCACACAGGGCCCTCTCTTACCTATGCCTGCGTTTTGCAGTCTTTAAGCTGTAATTGACTATAGGACTGTGAGCCAAGCTGCCGTCACTCGCACCTTGAAAGGTGTTGGCCTCAAAAGCCCTAAGCCTGCTCTTGCTTTCTGGGGCTCCACTACTGCCTCCAATGTATTTAGATATCTGTGAGCCCCTGTAACTTTAAATAGATTACAGGTTTCCCTCAGTTCTAGAGAGATTCAAGGACATTATTTGACCCTCACAAATATGTCTTACTCTGTGTTCACCGGGAATTGAAATAGCCAAGCCACTGGGGGGACACAATAAAATGATGAAGAGTGAAAGGGGCTTTTTTAGCTGCTGCCTAGGAGGGTATTATCTTTCAGAAAGTTCAAAAACTTTCTGAAGCCCATGAAGGTCATAAGAAAATGGGGCCCAGCCAGAATAGCTGTGTTTGGCTTGGAATAACAACAAAATAAACCAGTAATGTTGTAGTATCAGTGTTGAACTCTGCCTGGAAAGCACACTGTGCCTCAGGATGCATGAGCGCACTTGAGTTTAACTCAAAACATCAGACATTGGGCATAGCCCAATTTAAAACTGTGCATGAGTTTAAACCCCACGCAACTTATTGAGGCTGGAGAACCTTGGATGTGGAATGCAGGATGAATGATCTATAACTGAGATTAAAAAAGACTGTAGAAAAAGATCTGTTAACTAAAAGTAAGGAAATAGTATAAAGAGGAAATAGGCTTTCTCTTCATAAAACTTGCCCTTTGTAATAAAAACATTGCTTGGCAGCGTAATGGGCAGGCTGTACGGTGCATTTGTGCTGTGGTTACCTTTGTGTTTGCATTGCAGTTACAGTAACAGGCTGGATGCTGCAGAGAGAACAATGGAGGCTTTCAAAGACATCCTTTATCCTTGAGGAAGGACAGGGCGGCCACGTGAGCTGACCGCTCTCTCTGTT